TCTGACTGGCACCCAGGCTATCCCATCTCTGCTTCTTGCACTAAATCCACTGAGCCTCATGTATGTTCCCTGGTTTTAGCCATGGAGAAAACTCTTGCCTGGAGACAATTTTGGTTACATTTACACTTGCTCATATTTTCCAGACAAAAAGTAAATGGCGCATCTCCCAAATGTCCTGGCCGCAACAACGCTTTATTGGTTCCAGCGAGCCATTATTTTTTTTTGAATAAAAAAAAAAGGTAAATTTTAACATTTTAATTAGATTACAAAAATAAATCCTAACAAAAATTAAAATTAAGACCTATGAAAGACTGATTTAAGACATTTTAATACCAATTAAGGCCTTAGTTTTATTTTGAAGAATTCAATGCCTTTTCAGACTTTTTAAGGACCCGCTGGAACCCTGCTGGGTTTGAGGCACATTATATTCTTCAAACACTGCTTTGATCTTCTCTCCTTAAATAAGGTTGTTGTTCTTTTACAGAAAATTTGTTATTTGTTTGATTCCAACTTGAAAACCATGGAACGTTAAGCCATGTTACTCAAAAATCAGAGGTGCCCACATTTGCTGATGATCACTTCATATTCGCATCAGCAGAATCTGGCTCCTTCTTTCCAAATAAAAACAAACAATGCAAGTGAAGGCTGAGTTAACGTTTTACCTTCTGCTTAAGCACTTTTTCTTCATTTTGAAAAATAACGAAATACTGTTATAGTTTATAGTTTACCCCCACTTGAGGTTGCTTCTTCCAAAGTGTTATGACCGAATACATGCTACAACATTTGTTGTAAAAAATGTACAGTTATGAAGAAAGAAACCTCACTCCTATTTTCTTGCATCTAAATGATGAAACTAACTCTTAATCTCACAGTATTCAGGGTGCTGATAGAAATAACATAACATGCCTTATAAAGAGCCTATTTATCATGAGAAGAACCGTGAGATTCACACTGAGCTCAAACGAAAACCACATGAACCCCTCTCTCTCCTGCAGACATGATGGCGGTTGGCTGCGACTTGAATGGGCTCCACTATGAGAACGGAGAAACTTTCCAGCCCAGCCCCCTCTATAAGTGCACATGCATTGCTGGAGCCATCGGCTGCACGCCTGCTTTCATTCAGAAGCCCGCTGGTATGTTAGCCCCAGCTTCGCTGATGAGTAACAGACCAGCCGGTCTTCAAAGTGCTCCAAAGCCCAGCAAACACCAGCAGGAGACTACATACATGACAGGTGCGTGTTCGTGGTAAATGATTGGCCATGCAGGCCTGAATGGGAAGCGCTCCCCTGATGCATTTAGCAACAGCATGCAAAGTGTGAATGGGATTGAAGTGGAAGGTACCTGCTTTTGTTCCTGATACAGTAAACCTGCAGAGGTTTTTCAGATTCCAGAACATCCACTTTAACTGGTATTATTATAATACTGCAGGCAAAACCCCAATGGTCCCATTGAGCCTTTGGATAGTTTAGATACAGTCAAGTTAAATATACCTCATCCCAAAAGAAAACCATGAATTTGGATTATTCACTAAAATAAAACCAACTTGTTTTAATTTAACAGAGGATGTAAAGAGTAAGGTGTTCTCTAGCTGTGATAGGTGTCGGGAAGTCCTGCTTTCTCATTGCTAGTTTTAACTTCTTTAGTGGAATAACTTCCTGGGAAACTCTATTTCTGTTTGCAACCTCTAGCATCAGCCTGAGCAGCAACCCCTACATGCAGCTGTGGGATGATTCAGGGATCTCCTCCATATTAAATTCAGGCGACAGCATCTTCTCCTGTTGGGGCTAAGAATAGAATTCTTTTAAGAAAAAAAAAAGAAAAGAAAATTAAAAACAATCCAGTGGACTTTGTTTCCAAGTTTGAAGATGTTTTTCTTCCCATCCGGGAAGCTTTTTCAATTCAAAATGTCAGAAAATAGTGTTAAATTCCAGGTTTTATACAGTAGCCCAACAAAGCCTCATTTTTGTTTAGAAAACATGTAAATAGAAACGGACGAACGGTTCCACCCCTTAGGAATGGGAGTTGTTTGGTTTGTTAGTTAGCCTGCAATGCCCCATCACCGTCTAACTGTCTGATAGGGGGGTTGTTAAAGGGAATTGTTGGCCTGGCTGAATAGGAGAGGTCCTTCGCTCTCCTGTACAGGGACTGGGGCTGCAATGATAACGGGAAGGAATCAACTCAATTGCTGCATTGTAGGTTTTTGAAAGCTCTGGTTAAGGTTGTTTTTTCTTTCTCAACATAGATGGCTTCCTTCATGTCCCTCTCAAACCACCTGTCTTATTTGTCCAAAATGTGAACATTCTGGTCCTCCAAAGAATGTCCTTTGTCCATAAGGTGTAGATGTACCACAGAGTCTTCTGTGTTGGGCCATGTGTCTGTGGAGAGGTTGTTTGGTTTCTCGAATTAAAAGATCAGCTTTTTTGGGATACTGTAACCTCGAACTCAAAGCTATTACTGACAGTTTAAACTGAAAAATCTTCCTGATGGAAAGTGAAAGGTCTTCAAACTTGGAAACATCACTCCGTATCAAGATCTGGGCCTGACTCAGTTCAGATATTGGGACATTTTCTATAAGAAACCTCTAAAAAACTGCAGAATTCGTTGAGCATTTAATAAAGATTAAATGTACAGGTCCCGCAAACGCCAAGTAACCCCAAACCATGATACCTACACCTCCATTCTTTACAGCTAGCGTGAGCCTCTCAGGGTTTTCTGCCAAACATGCCCTCTGCTCTGTTCTCCAAATATCTCAGTTTTTCTAAGGAACATAATCAAAACCAGATGTTCTGGTCTTTGTTCACTTCCTCTTTGGCAAATGCCAGCCTAGCATTCACGTTTTTACTACGAGAGCAAAGCGTTACTCACATGACACCTCAACATTAGTCTGATTGTGCAGAAGTGAACTTCAGTATGAACACAATCTGCTGCTCTGGTTGCCTCTATTGAACCCCTATGCTTTGCTGTAGGTTGTGTGATTATTTCCCATATGTAGACTATTTTTTCACAGTAGAATGGACGATCTTAGATTATTTGGCGTCTTTTTACTTCCTTACCAGAGTAATAAACTGCTAAAATCTGCCAACACCTCCTCAGGTTACATTAAGTGTCAAAAGTCTGAACGTCTATGAAGTGAATCTTGTTCCAAACAAAAAACATGTTTTTAAATGGAATTTGGTAAACACACTGATTTTTTTTTATGAAGAAAAATGAAATTTTTTAAAATAGATTTTACATTTTCAATTACATTTTTCCAAATTGTATTTTTTTTTCCAAAAAACTAAATTTCAATAGATTTTTTTCTGACTGAGTTCTGCAACAGCATGCTTTTGAAATAGTTTTAAAAAGCATTAATTTAAAAAGCATGCTCTTGATTTGCATATTTACCAACAAAAAGGTTTAAAACGCAGTTCGTAAAGAAAGAAAAAACCCTATCTGAAAAACAAGAAAAAAATAAAAATCGAAATTTGAAACAAATATATAGAAACTAAATCTGAGAAAGTTACTCAAATTTTTTTTAAATAAAAAGTTTTTCCAAAACTTTTTCCTTCCTGGTTTGCACTTTTATCCAAATTTCCATTACTGTTTGCAATGATAATTCACTCCATCTACGTCCCGTTCCTTGGTGACATTTTCCCATCTCTGTGTTTCTCATTGTGAGCTGTGATTGTGATCAGGCCAGGGCGCCCTGCAGGGTGTTGCTGACACAGCACCCTTTAACTATAACACTGAAAGCTTACAGGGATCCTCCTTTAGCTTGGAAGAAGAACTGCCTGGTCCAGACCACCCCCTGGAGCTCCTGCTCCAAGACGTGCGGCCTGGGCATCTCGGTACGCGTCAGCAACGACAACGGCAAATGTGAGATGAGAAAAGACCGCCGCCTGTGCCTGCTGCGACCGTGTGAGAAAAGCTGGCTTAGGACTGTCAAGGTGATGGCTTTATCTCACTCACAGTCTTCTTAATGCACTGGTGCATCAAGATCATTCAAAAGTCTGTTTATAAATAGGAACTTGTGTATTATATAGAAGAATCAGCCTCAATGATTTATAATTCAAATGTTTCTGTTCATTTATGTTGATTATATTTGGTATCATTATGTCTCATACCTCATTAAGAACCAGATTTTATCTTCATTTAATATTAGAATAAGAGCGACAGCTGAATAGCAGAACTTCAGCCCTGATCTTGTCTTTTTCTCACCAGCTTGTGTCTGGCTTTCACGATTTCAGCTACATGGATTTCTCCCTAAAGCCTGAATGGGCTTTTTCTCACAATCTCCTCAAGGTTGTGGTTTCCCATGTTGCTTCTGCAACTATTTCTTCCACTCGACTTTCAGGCCATATGCTTGGATACAATCTGAGCAGCAGGCTTGTTAGTCAGTCAGGGTTTATGACTCGTCCTCTTAGTAGAAGGTCGGGTCTATATGGTTGAATTTTGTTCCATTATTGTTATAAGGAGCGCGTTTTGTAAATGGAAATTTAAAAAAAAAAATGCCATCCAGATATAGTTTTATATCTGGATGGCATTTTTTTTTTAAATTTCCAAAGATTTTCAGAGTAACTTTAATGTTTTTTCAAAGATTTGCATTTTTTATGTATTTTTCCATATTACGTCTTTTTCAAACGCTTTTTAAATTTTTTTTTTAAGTATTTAAAAGTATTTTAAAATACTGATTTTGGATTTTCAATTTTGTTTCATTTGTTATTGAGTTTAATGACTTCTTAATCTCTTCACAAAAACAACAAATTTGTAACTTAACATTTTTCAAAGTTCGATTTCTGGATTGTTTTTTGTTTTCAACAATAATGGAATAAAATTGACTCCGTATATCAGCATTTCTCCCCATCATTAGGTTCACCCAGCATGAAAAGCTGAATTCCTGAATCATATAACTATATACTGTAATTTGTATAAATGCTTGATCAATACTAATAAAAACACCTGCCTGTGTTTTTATCCAGGTGCCGAAGGGGAAGACATGCAGACCAAAGTTCCAAGCAAAGAAGGCAGAGAAACTGAAGCTCTCAGGCTGCACCAGCACTAAGAAGTTTAAACCCACATACTGCGGTGTTTGCACAGATAAACGCTGCTGTGTCCCCAACAAGTCCAGCATGATCAAAGTCAAGTTCACCTGTAAAACAGGCTCCAGCATCCAGTGGAAGATGCAGTGGATCACATCCTGCGTGTGCCAGAGGAAGTGCACTGATCCAGGTGACATGTTCTCTGACCTGCGGTTACTTTAAGGAGCCGCTACAAAGAGACAATAAGCAATAAGAAATTAGCCAACCAAAAAACATTTTTTAACTTAAAAATGGATGAAACCAATCATTAAATGAAGGGAAAAGCTTTAATGAGCTCCTTCTTTGGGACATGTTTGTGCAATAAGAGGGAAAGGCAGCAGTAGAAGCTGTGACTCTAAAAATGGCTTCATTTCTAAATCTAACTGGTTATAAACCAACGTTATCGCCTCCATTTCACTTTCTCCTCCCTGTATTTGCCTCCCTGGTCTGGAACCAATCAAGTTAAAACAAAACGCTCTAAAATAAAATGCTCCATAGAAAAGTCATTTTTATTTATTTTCTACCTGAATTTGGTTGAAGGACTTCATTTTTGTTTCCAGTTCTTTGTATATCAGATGTATCGTTATAGTAAAAATCTCAATGGACCTTAAATTAAACAGTGTTTGGATTCTAAAGCTTTATATTTATTTTCTTAAGTTTCAGGAGCTGACCTTATATCTCTGTATCATCAAACCTTGAATGAGGTTTTAAATTTCCCATGTGTTGCCATAAATTTTGTTCCATTATTTTTGCAATTAAAGAGCATGTTTTATAAATGAACATTTTGAAAAAAAAGCAATGAAGGAACGAATCTTTGAAGAAAATCTTCAACAAAAAAAGTAACTTTGCTGTTTTCTTAGATTTATTTATCAAACTTTTTTTATACTCTATTTTTTTCAAGTTTTCTATTTTTCAGGTTGAGTGTTACAAATTGCAATCTTTTCTAACTTTTTTTTTTCGCGGATCACATTCTCCTTATTTTTAAAGCCCAAAACAAACGATGGAAATTCTTCTTCACTCCTCATTCCAGAGGAAGAAGCTCCAACAAGTGTAGAGAATGTGATCTGCAAAACTTTGCAAAAGATAAATATATAAAAACTGAAGAAAAATATTGGAACTTTTTCAGAAATTAGCATCATTAATTTCAAAGCCTTTCTTTTTTGGGATTAAGACGTTTTTTTAGTTAGATTTCAGCATTCCTTTTTTTTTGTGGTTTATTTGCTCAGATATGCTGGTGAAGATTCTCAGCTACAGTCATTCCAACAAAGTCAAAAATCAATCCACTGGACATTGTTTCCAAGTTTGAAGAAATTTCTCTTCCCATCCAGGAAGCTTTTTCAATTCAAAATGTCAGAAATAGTGTTGAGTTCAAGGCTTTACAGAGTGGACCGAAAACAAAGCCTTGGTTTGGCTTAGAAAATATGCAAATTGAACCAGAAGAACGGGTCCGCCCTTTAAGAAAGGAGAGTCGTTTTAGGTTTCGCTGTTTGCCTGCAATTACAGATACTGGTCTATGCCTCTGAAAGGGGGTCTCTAGGGGGAGTTGTTGGCCTGGCTGAAAGTTTTTGCAACTGGTGGTTCACTCACTTGCTCTCCGCTCCGCTCTTACCTTCATTTTCCTGCCGCTCCGGCGAAATCGCTCCACGTTTGCTCAAACTTTCAGGAGAAGGCATTTTCTAAAATTTTCCCTTCATGTAATGATGCCAGGGCCCTTGGACAGACGGCATTTGGTTTAATGATGTCACCGATACAGGTGTATTGTCTTATTTATCTGGCTGTTAAATGATCATTTCCCAGCTGTGAATGTAACACCTCACTCCACTCATGTTGCCCTGCGTTTCCTCTTTTTTATTTATGTTACTAGACTACATTAAAAAAGGTCACTTTGCATCCCATTGCAACTGAGATAATAGAGGATAATACACCAAGATGTGATGGAATCAGTAGCTGCGGCTTTTGCAGTAGGCCTACACATATTTTTTAGGATTAAAAATGGTTGGCCTGCAAATGTTCTTCAATTAAAAAAACAAGTCGAAAAAAAATCAAATCAAATAAATGTTATTTTACAAATTTTATAATTCAACATTTTTAATTGATGTGAGGGCATCAGAGCGAACTGGAGCGGAGCGAAATCCTTGCTCCGGCCTTTGAATTGAAAACCGCTCTGCTCTCCACCATGTTTCTTCCGCTCTGCTCACACGCTCTGATTGGCAACGATATCAGAATAAAATTCACTCCATACTTTTAAGTCCATTTTTTCCATCCTAACAGGAAAACATCACAAATATTGGCTCTGAATCAACCCCCTATAAATACGTTTCCTGTCTCCATCTAAAATTCATCCTTCGTGGTTCATTAAGGTGGAAGTTAGCGTTCAAAAATGCTTTGATCTTCAATCCCTGAAGAACTTGAACCGTTTCATTTAGACACTTCAATCTGCTGGGAAAATATTTTCTAGGGAAATTCAGACATTTCATCCTGCAAAAAAATAATGAAACAAAATTCACGTCGAGTCAAGTCAAATAGGAATAAAAAATAGACAAAATAAATTGGTTTTATTCACAATGTCAAATTTACAGAATCACAAAAAAAAGTTAACAGAAGAACACAACTCTACAGTTTGCTCTGTTCAGACGAGGAAAGCATCACTGCTGTACAGCTGAGTTCCTTCGTCACACAGCTGGACAGAAACCTTTACTATATACACCATACATAAAGCATTAAACAGATGCCTTTATGCATCTGGATCCATTTAATGGCTTGTAATGTCCACAGAACCTTAAGGCCACATAAAAGCAGCTGATTAATAAATTAGGCCTTATGTCAGATTTAAAAAGGTGAGTTTTTATTTTATGGGGAGAGATGTTTCATCTGGCGATGGAGAGTCTGGGCGCATCGGGCAGAAGTCTGGCTTTTGTGGCATCTAGATGATGATACTCATCGATCAGCGCATTAAGAGAAGACAAAGACTCTGAGAAGATGCTCTGATCCATCCCGTCTACATGAAGGTAGTGATGTAAGTGAGCCTGGAAAGACAGAAGTAGAAATATGTTAAATGATCTCAGCTGCTGTTTTTACTAAAAACAAAAACCCCCACAAAGATGAACATCAAAATGTAGTTAGAAAAAAAGTTTGGAAAAATGAGAAGTCAGAATATTGCCATAAAAAATGATTCTAGGAATGTATTTTTTATTGCAGAGAACCTGAATCTGTTCTTAGACTGCAAAAATGATCCCGAAATAAGTAAAAATCTCTTCAATTAAATGTATTGACCCTTAATTTGAGTAGGTAAATAAGATGATTTGCAAATGGAATTAATATTTTTACTTTTAAAATAAGATAATTAGATAATATGCATTTGAAATAGGACAATGCAATTTTCTTTTTCTTATTTTAAATGTAAATTATCTTCCATTCCATTGGCAAACTCTCTTACTTACCTATTCATTTCAAGAAAAAATGCACTTATTCTAAGAAATAGGGACTTATTTAGATAACAATTTTGCAGTGTAAATGTTTGATACTGATAAACATTAAAAAGTCTCCAGTATAAGATCCTGCAGCACCTCATCTGTAAGAAAACTGAGTAGGAAAGTTTGCTGCTAGAATATTAAGTCCACCAGGCTTGTTTTGTGTGGTAAGAGACAAGACCACACAAGCATTTTCTGATTAAATGAAAATTTAATTTATTAAATGATCCTAAAGGAATAAAAAACTGTTTTGTGTTTTTTGTTTTGTTTATTTGTATATGTGTATACATATTTATGTATGTAAATGTGTAGGTAGGCATGTATTTATATGGATATATATAGCAACATAATTATAAATATTGTAAATTGAAGAAATACAAGAATTAAAGAGGAAGGAGCACATAAGTTTTACTTCTTCCTACTCCTTTTTGCACATGTAATAGAGGTATATTTAGGAAAAAAGGGTACCTTGTTTGTTGTTTTTCTCTCCAATGTTTTTAAACATTGTTTTATTGTTTTTTTGCTTTTCTCTTGCATGTTCGAAATAAAGAATAAATAAAAAAAAAAAGAGTACCTGAAATAAGAAAGCAAAATAGATCAATGTTAAGTCCAAAACTGATCAGAAATAAAACAAAAACGACTTAACAAACCAACCAATCCAATAGAAACCAAACCAAATGGAGTTCTGAAGAGGGGAAAGCCTCCTCTGCATGCATAGCAGCTTTAAAGCAACAGAGCACCAACAGGGGGAAACATAACACCTGTAGAGGGCCTGTATCTTGAACCCTACAGGGAAAATGGCAGGGACCCACTGCAGCCGTAACAGTTTAAATTTGGAGTCAGTATCCTGTTAAAACCATCAAATATTTCCATGTTTTAACTGTTAGGAGTAGATGTGAGGAGAAGTTCAGTGCTAGTGGTTTTTCTCCATCCTCAATCAACGCTGTGTGATGGACCAGTAGTGCTGGTCCATAACAGTAGTGGAAAAATGCACTACCACCATCTATATACCCCCAAAGAGGGGAACAGAAGACCTCGCCTGTTCTGCCAGGCCAACAATTCCCTCTAATGACCCCTATCAGAAACATAGACAGGTATGGGGCATTGCAGGCTAGGGGTGGACCCGTTCGTCTGTTTCAATTTGCATGTTTTCTACACAAAAACAAGGTTTTGTTGGTCCACTCTATAAAACCTTGAACTCAATGCTATTTCTGACATTTTGAATTGAAAAAAAAAAATCCTGGATGGGAAGAGAAACGTCTTCAAACTTGGAAACAAAGTCCAGTGGATTGTTTTTTTTAACTTTTTTGGAATGACTTAGACCTGGATGACTGTGAATCTACACCAGCACACCAGCAGGGGTGTCAAACTGGTTCCAGAAAGGGCCGTGTGGCTGCAGGTTTTCTCTCCAAGTTTGTGAAGGGCTCACAGAATGCAAATTCTTGGAGATTTTTGCATTAAAGACATATTTTTTAAGTTGTGTTTGATAGGTTATGCTAGCATGTACACTCACCGGCCACTTTATTAGGTACCCCATGCTAGTAACGGGTTGGACCCCCTTTTGCCTTCAGAACTGCCTCAATTCTTGGTGGCATAGATTCAACAAGGCTCTGGATGCATTCCTCAGGGATTTTGGTCCATAATG